CCCCTCCCCGGGCCAGCCTATTCCAGTGATTGACAACACTTTCGGTGAAGAAATTTTTCTTAATATCCAATCTAAACTTCCCCTGGCTGCTTAACAACTTGAGGCCATTTCCTCTCGTCCTGTTGCTTGTTACTTGGGAGAAGAAACTGACCCCTACCTTGCTACAACCTCCGTTCAGGTAGCTGTAGAGAGCGATAAGGTCTCCCCTCAGCCTCCTTTTCTCCAGGCTAAACACCCGCAGTTCCCTGAGCCGCTCCTCATCAGACTTGTGCTCCAGACCCTTCACCAGCTTCGTTGCTCTTCTTTAGAATCAGCTTCTCATGTTTATTATGTGTGTATGTACAACTTGGACTTTTTCATTAAGGCGGGGGGGGAAACCCTTTCTCTGAGTACCTGGCTGAGACAGTGTGCACACCTGACTGCAAACAACTGCTAAGCACACCACCACTAATGCTCCTGATTTCTGTCTTTTCTTCCTAGCTTTGGTGGCCGAGGCTGGAGCCAGTACTTTGCTCTCAGTGGAGGAGACTTTTTGGGGCTCCGCTTGCAGAAGAACTAGAAAGACTGAGAGGATGGCAGTCCTCAGCTACCAGGTGCGTGTGAGGAACTGAGCGTGGATCTGCAGGCAGGAGAACCTGCTCTCTGAGGGATCGGCTGTTCTCTGAGGCAGGCTGGGTGTCAGCAGGCAGTATGAAATGCTAATGTGGACTGAGGCTTGTAGGACAGCTATATACAGATTCCTTTGTACAGTTTAAACTCAAAATGGGTCATTATAATTATTTAGTTTGGCCTTCTGTGTTATATGGGTCAGAGTGTTTCACCATAAGGAAAAGAGAATCTTTTCAGAGGAGAGTGGAAGGCAGAGTCCTTGTTAGACAAACACTGGAAATAGCCTTTAGCACAGTGTTGAGTCATTCGCTTAAGCTGCCGCACCCTTTGCTCCCTGGATTTGGTGAATCTCTGATCTCCCGAAGCTACTGACTGCTTCTCTGCCGTATGCTTCCTTCTTTACCTGTTGTTACGCTCTTTGTTCAGTGTCTTGCAACTTTCTCCAAAAGCTGGGAATTTACAATAAGAATCTCCTTGCAGGTTATTGAACGTAATAATCAGATTAGTGTACTAGCGTACAGAGTTAACTACCAGTCCAACCTCTGATAAAAGAGATTTGGGAATGCTGCTGTCTGTTTCTAGACTTTTCTTTTTTAAACTGTCTCCATGTAGCATCCAGCTGCAGGAAAAAAAAAAGGAGAGAATTTTTTTTGCCCCAATCACAAACTTACACCCTTTGCCCAAGCCCCTGAGTTTCTCCTCATTCACAGCCGTGATTTTTTTTTTTCTTTTATTGTTTTCCTCCAAAACCATGACATGCTGGTTTTGTTTCCTAGCTTCCTTTCTTCAGGAGTGGTTTTCCCTCTCTCTGGCCCTCCTTGGATTTCGGCTGCCTTTCTCCATTGTTCTGTTCAACAGCACTCACCATGCGGACGAGAGAGAAATGCACTGAAAAGGCTGGGGACTGACACAGAGCAGGCAAGACGATGCATTTTAAATGTCTGCTGTGCCCTACACTTGAAAACTAGAAGTAGAATGTCTCTAACTGAGAAATGGTTGTCCTGAGATACAGCTGTATCCCTGGTAAACCCTGTTGTGAAATCTTGCTGGTGGCTAATTGATAAAATGTAGCTGTAAATTACCAGTTGCTAAATACTTATCCTAGAGGCAAAGTTGTTCCAAACTTAAACTTTTACCTCAGATACTGGCTCCTCTGTGAAGTCAGGGAGGACTATTAAACAGCTGCTTTAAAAACTGAAGCTGGAGAGAGTGTTGCAGAGATGGAGAGCTCAATCCATGGCATGCCAGGATCACCTCTCCCTCTGACAAAGGAGCAGTCCTTGTGGATTTTAGCTCAGGCAACTTGGCTGGGAGGTTAAGGAGGTGCAGAAAGTTTGTGAGATAGGAGCGCAGGCATTTTAAGGGCTCTGGGAAGATGTGCTGAGGGTTTTCCCAAGTCTGTTCCAAGAAACGCCTCCTCCATTTTGCCATGCTCAGTGCCCTCTGTGCACAGGAATTCTCTGAAGTGCTCTGCTGAGGAGGAAGCCGGGCTGCTGCCCGGCAGCTCGCTCTGTTGATCTTCCAGGGGATAGCCAGGACCAGAGCTCAGTACGGGGAGTGTCCCTGTACTGAGACATTCACAGGTAAATAGTGTTGAAGCAGAACCTGTGCCTTACTATTTACTCTTTAAGTTTTATTGCTCCGGGCAGCAGTTATGGTAGCAGCTCCTCTTGCTATGGGATTGACTCCTCTGCTGTTTATATTGGTCTAGAGCCAAAAGTCTGCTAGTCAGAAACTGGTGTCACTGAGTTGATATGAGCATTTAGTACACGTGGAATAACAGTGGCTTTCACCTCAAAAATCTGCCTTGAGATAGGAGGAGGACGCCAGGAAGGGATGTGGTAGGGATCCAGAAAAGCGATAACAAGCGTATGTCAGGTCAGGATTACGATGCACTTGCTGAGATGGGAGGCTGCACAGCATCTGCTGGTGGCATGCTGGCTGTGGACAACATTAGCTCTCCTCCAGGTTTACATCTGTGGTAGCTCACTTCGTTTTCCCTGTATTTGGGAGAAGTTGTCATCTGTTGTCTGACTCGTTGACTGCAGCAAGCCTTGCTTCGAGAACAGTGAATTTAGTGTGGAATTCACCCTTGGAAGCAATGAACGATGTCAGGCTGCAGTCTGTCTTCTTCAAACACACGGCCTTCACCTGGAAGCAACAGCAGTGCTTGTAGTTCATCCAGGTCCATCCTGGGAACGTACTTTGTGAAATGTTATTTCCTGATTGGAAAGTGCAAGTTCTGAGTCACCACCGCAGATATAACTAACAGGCAGTCTCTTTTCCTTGCAGCTTCTTGTTTCTCTGCTGTTCTTCTCACTCATGGATCTCATCTCAGCAAAAATAGCACCAAAGGTAAATTCAGCCTTGGGGGAATTCTCATGACAGTAAATGTGTCTGATCCACTTGGTTTGCTGCCTAAAAATGCTTTGTACCCGTATTGTGAAGGCTGGTAGCTTGTTCTGCCAGAAGTAAGGGATCAGCAACATCCCAGACAGAGCCTGCTGAAAGCCCTTCTGTTCCTATCAGATTAAACCTGTATTTTCCTCTAACTGACATTATCTCCCCTTTCACTACGGTAGCTTTTATTTCTCTCATGAATGCCTTACTGTTTTCAGTTCCCTGTTCAGACTTTACACCTTCCAGGTAGCGCAGGAACCTCATATCTCTCTCTCAGCTTTTGTGTAGCATTTCACATGTTAGATGATGTTTTTCCTCAGGCTGGAAATGTACGGAGTATTTCACAGGAGATGGGGTCCCCAGCAAGGAGGAACATTGGTTTCCAAATGAGTTAACGCTATTAAATGAAGGAGCAAAGATGACAAGTTTCTTCCAGCAGCTGTGTGCCCTAAGATCCTCCTGCCTAGGAATGCTTGTTTCTGTCCCTTTGCTGTCTTCTCAGCTTTGAAGTGCAGCCGTTTGTGTAGTCACCTAACAGATTGGATCAGGGTGCAGATTCAAGTTAAAAATAATCATTTGGTCTCATAGTCTGCCTCTGGGAGAGTCTGGAGGAAGAGTCATTGAGGAAAGAAACATCTTGAGCAAACAGATCTGGGAGGTTATTCCAAGTAAAATGAGTAATGCGAAAAAACCCAATCCCAAGGCATGCTGTCACTAGATGGGTTAGAGGGGAGAAAACCTGCTCTAACCTCTAGATGGGGGAGCAGGGTGGGGTCGATGCAGGACGTGCAGTGGCTCTGTGCTGAGCACCGCTGGGAAGCATGCTGGTGATGAGCCAGTTGCTCATCGATGCCGCTTCCCCCTCTCTCACAAATCATTGTCAACTGAGCCCTGTCATGGCCTGGTTTGGTGATGAAGGCACTGCATTACTCCAGCGCCTGATCGCCTGGGGGGAATCCAGGCTGCCAGGTGAGGGGAAAGACTTGGGCTAAGTTCATAAAGGTCCTTTAATAAAGCACTTCATGTACACAATCTCTTATGGGGGGTTCCTTTCTGCTTTGATGCAACTAAAGCCTAAGACAAACCAGAACTGTCCTTTCTGACACCCAGGAAGGAGTGGATTTTCAGACATCTCTGGAATGGTCCCTGGAGATCTTGCAGTGCCTGGAAGAGAGGGGCATGTCCTGGCCACTTCTCTTCCATTCGGCAGAGGAAGGTGAGCGAGTCCTGCCTCCAAGGGGTGGAGAGGTTCGGTTCGGTGCTGGACAGGCATGCCCCATCTCTTTGATTAATGAGTCTAGCTGTGAGAAGGAACAGATTGGCATTTGTAAGCAGCATGAAAAATACTTGCTGGAGTAAAAGCTGAGAACATCCTGCTTCTGCCCTGCAGTACGGTGACCCAACTGATGATCGGGAACGACTGAAACTCAGTATTGTTCCCTCTGGTAGAGAAAGCCTCAGAGGGGACAGCTTGCTTCTCTCAGGGGTCCGCACACCTAAGCACTCTAGTGTTTATTGTGGGCTGGAAGGAAACTGTGCAGCCCCTGTGCTGCTGTGGAAGTATGCAAGGTGGTGTGAGGACCACTAAAGATGCTTGGTGCTTCTCTCTGGCTATTGCAGACCCTAGAAAATACCATGTCCTGCACAGCGCAGCCTCGGACCGTCACATCCGGCTCCTGCCTGTTGCGTTCTACAGGTAACGTCCTGGGCTCAGACGGGAGGTGTTCGAGGGATGATGTGGCTGGTGGTTTGCACGTACAGCAGCTGGTGCAGAGGTAACTGTACTGCTGGCCTGTAGGTGAGCTGAGCCCTTACCTTAGCTGTGCAGGAGAGAACACTTGATCACAGCAGAATTCCTATTTAAGGAGCCCCGTATCTTTTGCTGAAAGTTTCCCTTCAGCTTTGTGCTCCAGGAGGAGTGTCCCTGGCTGCCTTCCTGCTCCTGGCAGTGGGGTGGCCCTGCACACAATGGGACTTGTAAAACTGACAGCAGCAACAGCACCAGCTGCGTTTGCCTTGTGTCTTTTTGTGTTTGAGTCTACCACGGAACCAGTGCTAACCAGACACGGTGTGTGTCCTCCTCTAGCCTCACCCCTTGCTTTCACCAAGAGCTGCTCACTCGGGAGCAGACCTTCCTCTACGTGGCGCTCGATTTGTACATCCAGCTGCTTCAGCTCTTTGTGGAAGGGAAAGACCTGCCGCAGGCTGATCAAGCAGGACAAAGCCCAGACCCCGCAGAGCATGTGAGCAAAGCTTGGTCTCCCTTTTTTCCTCTTGTAACTGTGAATCCTATTCTTTATCCCTTCCTCCTGCCACTTGCAGCATCCCTCTTGTTCCCACTTTCCTGTACGAAGCAGAGAGAGCCTGTGCGGCTGCCTTTGCAGGCAGTCACCTTGCTCGCACCTTGGGGCTCTCAGAGAGAAGCTGCAGGTGCCGCTGTCCTGCTGCAGCCTGAAATCTGAGCTGCCTCGCTGCTCTCTTACTTGTAGAGGACCTCGGGGTGACTGTAGTCACTGATCAAGTGATCTACTTAACCTGTGAATAGCCCCTAGGTGTGGTGTAGTCGTTCCTGTTTCACTTTTGGAGGCAGGGACTGAGAGCTGAAAGCAGCATTGCCCTTGGCCTCCATCGGCTGTTTCTCTTCTCTGTGTTCTCCAGGGGGATCCCTTGGAGGTGATCTCCACGGCCCGGCGGTTCCTGCTTGGCGCGATCCCGCGATGCCCTGCCCAAAGCTTTGGAAACATACGACTGGTGCGTTCAGTTTTTTTTTTTTCCCCTCTTCTCCCAGTGCCAGAGAGCTGGGAGTGCCGCTTCTGCTCAGCGCCAGCCTGCGTAGCTTTTCTTGCTGCACCGCTCCTGCACTGGTGCTGCCTGCTTAACCCCCTGACACACTGCATTTCTGTAACACATTTGGGAGCGGTGGAGGACACCTGCTGCTCAGTCAGTGCTATAGCCACATCCTCCCTCTCCTGGGCTGCGTCCTTCTTGGCAACATTAAACACTGCTTGCTTAATGCCTGGTCTTGGGGGGAGTATCAAGCACCGCTAAGTGGCAGGTGTTGAACTTTCCCACAAGCACTGTGTTGTCAGCCAGGAGATCGTGTTATTTCTGTGTGAGTCGGCAACAGCTTCCCTCTCCTCTACCTCTACTTTGCCGAGAAGCAGCAAAACGATCTAGTGTTGCTGTAACCCACCTTGAGGAAGCGCGAGCAGGTCTAATGCTGGCTACTCGCCCTCTCCCCAGCTGCTGGACACGTGCGAAGAACTTGACCCAGAGCTGGGAGCCACCCTCCTGCACGTCTCGAGGCCTGCCGCGGCCATGGAGCTGGACGACGAGCTGGCCCTGTTCTGAGTGACAGGCAGGGCAAGCTGAGTAGGACACCCTGACTACGGAGGAAGGGACAGACAAGGTGCTACCTTTCTCATCAGTGCTGTTTCTTTCAAATTACTTTGTAAATAATTTATTACAAGCATAACCATGAAGCTCTTGTTACAATAAAAAGTAGGTTACAAATTTCAGTTTAGACTTGCTTTGGGAATCATAATTTTTTTTTTTTTTCCAAACAAAATGTCTGCTTAAAGTTGCTTCTCTGTCCTATGTACCCTTACAGCCACCCGAGGGCACTTCAGTACAGGCAGCAGCTTGTGCAGGCAGGGAACAGTTGTGGCCAACTCTGGTTCTACAACTGTGTGCGTGGGGAGAAGGGGGACCACGAAGGGGTGCTGCCGAACATCCATTCCCCTTGGATTAGACAGACTCTTAGTACAACACTGCTGAATCAGACGTGAGCATGGAGAATCACAGCATGATAACAAGCCTTTTCTGAGCAAGCTGAAGCTAATTCCACTGAGTTCTCTGGGAGACTAAAATGTAGATTAAAAATCTCCACTCTGCTGTATGGTTTCTACAGGGCTGGACTGGGAAAGCATCCCTGTCCCCTCAGGTGGGCTCCTGCTGTGCAGTCACTTCTGGCTTTACTGCCTGGCTTTCTGAAGTCCCTGAAGTATTTAGGAGGAGAATGGGCTCTGGCTCCAGTGGCTTGGCTTTGTCCTGAGTCTGGGTCAGAGGGTGCACCATGGACATGTGGACATTAAGGTTATGGGCCTTCTCGAAGCGCTTCCCACACTGGTCGCAGGCAAACTCCAGCTCCGTCTCAGCTTTGTGTTTGGTCATGTGGTACTTGAGCGATGCTCGCTGTCTGCACTGGAAACCACAGATTTCGCACCTGCAAGGCAAAGCAGGGGCTTAGCCACAGCCATGGCATTCGCTCTTTGTCACACGGCATAAGCCCACGAGAAGACAACTGTAGACTCAGAGCTGCTTGCTCATAGCATCTCCCACAACTACCCTGCTCACGCAATGCGATTATCCTCTTCAGGCCTGCAGCTCATTGCTGGTAGCTGTTCTCTGAAGGGCAATGGGAATAGAAGGAGGTGTAAGACTTGCTCAGCAACAGGAAGCTCTGGAGCTGGAGCACGCATTGTGGATGAACGTTTAAAGTGATTCAGCCAGGACGCTACCAGCTACAGGCAGGGTTTGTATCACAGAATTACTCTGTGCCAAGGTCAGTGACTGTGAGAGCTCAGCAGAACTTCACTACCCCTTCAATCCCTTTTCTTAGCTACGAACGGATGGTTGGTGTGCACTTACTGGAGGGGCTTTGCTCCCGAGTGCCGCATCTGGTGGACCGAGAGGTGTTTGCGTTGCTTAAAGGTCTGCCCACATTCATCACAGATATAATTACGTACCTCTGCAATGTAAAAAGGGAGAGTCATCGATTCTGCTGATTTCTTAGTACATGAAATGCATACACGCAGCTGCCCACGCTTACTGGTGGAGTCCAAATTCCTCCCCCTGCCTCACGTCCCCCGCATGATGGCCTGTTACAGGTTTACAGGCGAGGCAGACCGCTCTACACCCTGCACAGTCTTGTACAAGCCTTGTGCGATGAATCGCTGGTGTTTGTAACACCCGTCGCCTGGTGTGAGTGGAGCCTGCGGGGACACACCTGTATGAATGAGCTTCACGTGACGCTGTAGGTACCGGTCAATCATGAACACCTTGTTGCAGCCAGGATGAGGACAGGGCCTCTCCCGAACCTCCTCGTGGTGCTCTTTGATGTGTTTCTGTAAAGAAAGGACAGAGCTTCTAACCGCGAGGCTGCATTTTCCCCAGTGAAAAACTTGGATCCCCCAATAACGAGACCCCCATCTTGGCAGGCTTGCGCAGGCACTGCTTCACTGTGAAAAACCAGAAACTTGCATCCAAATCTACGCCTGGCAGCAGGGGCTTTAACAGGACACGGCGGAGCTTGTTCCAAGGGCTGCTGCCGAGCCAGCGGCAGACTTCCAGAACAGGAGGCGCACGCAGAGCCAGAGCAGCTCCTGTTGCTTTTGGGAGCACAGAAAAAGGCCTCTGACTGCTTCATTTAGTCGCTTGCCCACCTCCTGCGGAGCTAGGCAGTGAATTAAATCTGTCACGGATCCTCTCCTCATACGGAAACTGCTCTGTAACACTCAAAGCTACAGGTTTGAGGCAGGAGCAAACCCTGAACTCACCTTCATGCCATCCGCCCCTCTGTAGACAGCTGTGCATCCCTGGTAAGGACACTTGTAAATGGTAGGCAGCTCCTCCCTGCAAAGCAGAGGCCTGCCGTCAGCCAGCGTGCCGAGCGCGGGGCTGCTGCCCAGCCGCCACCTGCTCCTTATTACCTTTCACATTTGATTTTTTTTTTCCAGCCTGGCTTAGGCCCCGGCTTCTTCCTTATTTTGGGCTCTTCCGCCTTCTTTGCTTCTTTGCCGTCACTTTTCTTGCTAGAAACCCTCCAAAAAGAAACAAGGAAGGACAGTGGTTTAATACTTGATGTTGGTCTCAGACATCCCACCTAATCGTCCCCAAGTGTTACACCTGGTCTGACGCCTTAGCTCGACCTGGCAAAGCAGGAGCAGGCGCACCGTCAGGTACACGTGAGTCGCGCCGCGGTAATTAGTGCCAGGCCTGAGAACGAGGGATGTGGCCCAGCTGCAACCCGATGGGGAGCTCAGGGAACAGAGGTGCTGGGGCAGCGCCGTGCCCTCCAGGCAGGGACGTGGAGAGCACCGAGGCCGTAAAGGAAAGCGGACATGGTGGCCCAGCTGAGCCCAGCCCGGCACAGGCAGAGTGGAGGCAGGCACCAGCCCTCCCACTCATCCGCAGAGAGCTCTGCTAACCACACCGTAAGCCCCTTACTTCTTTTCGGGGTAAGGCTCGAAGGAGTCATCTGAAGATTGCACATTTCTCTTCTCATTTTCATCGTCGCTCAAGAAGTCCCTGAGAGAGAGAAGATGCCCTTTACCAACACAGCACCGGGCTGGCACTTCAGCACCAGCATCTGCAGCAGCAGCAGTACGTGTTCGTCGTTCCCAGTGCATCCATCTCCCCCACGGCACGGCAGCCGAGGCTCCATGTGTTCTCCTCCCCCGTAATCTCCCCAAGCAAATACAGCGCCGGTGAACACAGCAAATAGCAAAATCAGGTCCTTTTAGGACTAGATCTCTGGAAGAATAACTCTACCACTGTCAGGAGAACAAAAAACGGCTGTTACTGAAAAGATCTATTCATTATTGAGGGATGGTGCCACCGCTTTCTATACTGGGAAAAGTAATTTTTTAGAGCAAGAATGAATATAATTGTCTGGCGCAGGTTAATTAAGTTGCAGGTCATTCTGTATTTCCTCATATGTAGCAGCCACGTTTGGGTTTTTCTTTTTCCTACTTTTAAGTCCTAAACCATACAAGAAGCAATTAATTCTGAAGCCAGGAAACAGGCAATAAATTTTTGTGGCATTTTTAATGTGACAGCTGACAGATTTAGCTGACACACTGAAATAAGCCTGCACTTGGCCATTTAGTAATTTAGACTCAGAATGACTGGACTCAATTATCAGTTATTTACAAGCCTCGTTTTAAATACCTACGTTTGAAGGATTTAGCCAAATCTTTGATCATAAAGACTGCACGCTGTCAGTGTCCCTCCCGCTCCCTCGCCCCATTTAATCGCTCTCCCCGTGAGCAAAGGGGGTGATTCTCCGAGTGCCACCCCTTGCCTGCATTCTCGCACCACCCGCTCTTCTGGAGCCCCAGCCTGGAGCCGTG